GTGGTGGTTTTGGTGGGAGGCTTGGCCGGTGGTGATGCATCACCACCACCACTTTCAACCTCCACAACACGACGCCGCTTTGGTCTTTTTGTATTCTGAGTTAATGAAGCTTTTCGCTTAGCTGTATTCTGCCTATCGCGAGATTTTTGTGCGGTTACAGCAGCGCGATCTTCTGCTTTTTGGGCGCGCGCAGCAGCTAGTTGTGCAGCCCTCGCATCGCGCTCCTCCTGCCGCACCACTCTGGCCATTTCTCGGTGCTCACGAGCAGCTTGTGCCATCTGTTTCTTATATGCAGCTGCGGCAGCTCGCTCCTCTCTCTGTTGTTCCTTTTAGAGTTTTTTTTATGCTCTTGTTGTTGTTCTACTGCCTCGCGGGCTCTGGCCTCCGTCACTGATCGTGGGCTCCATATCACAGCTGTGCTATGATACTCTTCGTGCTGCTGCAGATCGAGAAGCTTACGTTTAGATTTGCGGCGTTTTCTAGTAGTAATACTGACGCGCAGTTCGTCGTTTTCATGGTGCAAAAGCTCGTTTTGGATCTGCAATGAATGGAATGCCTGTTTAAGCTGTTTGGCTGCATTTTTTGATGTATCCGGCACCGCAGCGGCAAAAATTCTTGACAGCTCCCACCAGGTATCTCCATCACCTGCCTCTCCAATTTCTGTATCTATACCGGCTCGTGGTGGTGGTGTTTTGAAGCGTTTCATTACGACGTCGGGCTCGCGCGGATGGATTCCACTGGCTCGAAAACTACTTAATATATTGTCGGCCGTGAAAGCAGATGTATATGCCGCCCAAAATATGCGGAGGAAATCACTTTTCCGCATATTGAGCAACCCTTGATCGCTGTGGAGTAGATTGGTGAGCTCGATACTGTACGCGGTTGCCAGAGGTGAGTATACACCAACGTCAAGTGGCTGGAGGCTCTGAGTAGCGTGAGGGGGAAACACTGCGAGTAGTATTCGGTGGGCATGGCAGTACTCGATGAACGAAGGCGTTAGGTGACTGCCATGCCCGTCGACGAGCAGCATCCTGTAGTCGCGTTTTGCTTTCTCTTTTGTGCAGCGATCGAACACCTGCTCAACCCAAGCCAGCGCGAGGTCATTGTTACTCCATCTGGATGGGGTGCTGCAGCAAAAAACCTAGTGTTTTCCCACCTCCAGGTCCCGCAGCAATTCATCACAAAGACCATCTGCTCCCTCGAAGACTATCGCAGGATCTACCGAGCTCCCATCAGCGCAGATACACCCAATAATCGTAATCCAATCCCTACTCCTATCTTGGAGTGCCTTGCGCACTTTCTTTTGCTCCTACATGGCCTTCGAAAAGATTCTTTTGGATGGTAAGATGCGGCCGAGCAAGGAGCCCTTCTCGTCTATATTGTAAATATTGTGTGCCGTAACCTTATATTGATCGAGCTTAGCATAGAGGAGATCGAAATATGATTGGTAGTTAGCTGGAGCTTCAGCTAGATGACGGTCGCGGTCGATACCGGTGGCTTTTTGATGCAAAAGTTATCGTGGTGACGGTGCAAAAAACGAGTAACCCAGCTGTCGGAAGGCTCCCATTCTGCAACAACGGCCACATAATTTTTGACTATAGATTAAAAAAGTGGTAGCTCGCGTTTTGATAGTGTTTCTATATATTTTACCAGCTCCGATTCTTGTGGTGGAGCGAGTAATTAACGTTTTCTGGCAGCTGCAGCCCTTGACTGTGTTTTGTTTTGGTGCCGGCGCGTCAATGTTGTGATATCAACACTAAGCCTTTTTGCAGCTGCGCGATATGAAGGTTGACCTTCTGCATCTTACGAATCGATTGCCGCAATCGCTTTTGCAAGGGCTGTCATGGTGGTGGAGTTATCACGTGTTGAAAATGATGGGTGGATATTTTGATGGGACAGATGGTGCTGCATTAGCTAAACTATTGCATAGTTACTGACCACACGCAGTATATTAAAGCATTACTGTTCTTCTCTTTATAACTACTACTAAAGATTAAGAATTTTTTTCTTACTCTTGCAATATTTTCTAGTAGTGGTTATATCTAAGTTATAATAGCTTCATTTTTATGATAGACCTGCTCTTTTTATCACCAAATTAGTTATAACTAGTTAGATAGAACGGCCTCCGGCCAAAGTCCTACATAGCCAACGGCTGATACAGGATTCTAATGGAATAATAATAATAATAATAAGACCACCATTTGGCGATTGCGGCACGACATCAAGTTAACTAAATTAATTAGTTACAGTACTAACTTACAGAGACAAGATGGCCGAAAAGTGACAAGTAGCGAGCGCACGCGGAGATGAAGTCAAATTCTTGGTATATTGCTATCATAACTGTAACGGCGCAGGCAAGACTACTCGGATCAGTATCGGCAGTAGTGTCACTCAGAGGCATATGGGAGTGCGTGGGACATCAAACGAGCCTTGATTCAAATAGACACCTATAGGCCTTGTA